TTCATGCTCGAAGAATGATGCGAAATTCCGTGTAAATTGGACCATGTACTTCCTGTAAGGATTGCGCAGAGCTAGATCGTCACCTTGATGGTCACCAGCGAAACCCGCTGCTGTATATTTCTAATTATTAATCACCTTGTACCATAACGATAATTTCACTGCACTTTCAGGCACCAAGTTTATGAGTGGACATTCATTTGCTGACTACATACATTGGAAGTAGACAAAATCTAGCGATACTACCCCCGGAGCAGCAGAACCGTCCTGAGGTATACAACACGTAAGGATATACGTAGACCCTAAATGAATGATTCAATAGACAGACTCAGGCACAACACAATGCTAGTATGCCATATAGACTGAAGATGAAAACGAGAAGAACAATAAAGCAAGAGACATTAGGTTGACCCCAGAACATAAAGATCGCGAGCACAGGATGGAAGTCTACGGCTTCAACACAACCTGACCCCCCCTTCAATTTCATCCAGCCCAAATTCCTCAATATAAGTGACCCCGCCTTTCCCACCCAGTGGAAGCAACCCAGACCACACCATTTAAATCAGCCGGAACACATGCGGACAATCATACATAAACCATCCCTAAATACAAATGCCCTTGAACATAATCTCACCATAAGAAACCTGAACACTCCCTAAGTAACCACCCATCAGGACACATCAACCGAAAGATTCCAGCGCACGAATACCGGCAACTAACAGGGATAAGTCCTGAATAATTAGGAACAACAAATCCAGATATACATAAACTCCCTCCGGTTAGCCAGCCGCTGTTTTAGAGAACTGGATATCAGTAGCCTCGTCCCCAGTAATTTAGACTGTGATAAATCACTGTATACCATAAATACATTCAAGCTTGTCCAGAGCTGCCCTGTTACAACCAGCTACAATGACAGTGGCCCCCATAACCAGGACTACACCCACCACGCCGCCACCAAAACACCCTGTAGCCGGGGCCATAATCACCACCTCACCAAGCTTCACATCTACCTCAGCCAGTCCGCCAAAGAGGACCAGGTATGTGATCAAGAAACAAAGATCACTAATACTGTATCCCAGTCACTCCAAAAGAACTTCCTCATCTAGCAGATACAGATTCTCTAGAGGAAACCGCACATATTCAACATATTTTCTGTTGCGCCAAACTCCATCCATAAGTTTCTGCACCGCAGGATAAATTACTCCATGAACCCCGTACAGCATAATGACAGCGGGGTTATCACGCGCACGGATAATTATATCACAAAAAACAAGTTAACCCGGCCTAAGAGTGACACAGTCAGGTCCAACTTCATAGATGCACGCGATAGCCGTGTTTCCCGGAATCAAGAGGATAAAAACCGGGTATAGACACTGGTTTATAATTACTTCCCTCATATAGGGGACAATATCAGCAGCCAGAATACAATGGCATCACCAGTCAATACCACAGGGCGAGGCACATTTTCCACGACCAGGGGCTTGTCCCGGGCATGAATCACCGCCGCTTTGTGGGTTGACATACTTTCCTTTTTGTTGGTTTGAGGCAGTTGCTAGGTCGTAGATCGTAGAGGATGAGCCGTTCCCTTCTCTGCTGCCTTAACTGATTTGTAGAGCCATTTAATTCCGTGCTTTGTCCATCAATTTATGGAAGACAGATCCGCGGTAGGCGAGAATGGTATATCCGCAAATTCCGGTCACCCCGACCAACAAAAGTCTGGTAACGATAAAGCAAGATATTACGGAATACCCACTTAAGCGACCCCATCTGTCATAGTGAACTCTGGTAAAGGGTCAATGACACCAGATATAGCCCTGGACGGTGGGTCCCAATCAATTCTGCCGAGTTCAACACTTCTGCAACTGCTTGCGCGGCAATGGATTCACGGCGACGGCGATAACCTCTCACTGCTCTCCATATCTCCGAGCCCCTCCACCAACGCGCTTTGTATGTCATGGATCCGGCTCTCACGGCGACTGCTAATATCCATGAAAGTAAACACCAAAGTGGCAGGGTGAATGTGCGAGCCTCACTGGGTTATGAACATGATGGCCGGGCAGCTAAACCTGATCAGTCTGGAAAGCGTGTTCAGTGTGGGTTGGATCGTGGAGGACCAACTTAGACTCTCCATCGCGCTCGCCTAGAAGGCCCTCTGGGAAGACCTTCTATTCTCTATCCTGTACTATCGTATAAACCCTGCCGGGGGGCGGCGCAGAGTACCCAGACCTGCCACACGGTGGTCGGAATACGATCCGCGCGGGACTTTCAACGCCAGTCCATCCGTCTGCCCGGGTTCACGGTCCATTCGTTATTCTCTCCGCGTCGGGCCATTGCAGGCAGGTCCCAATAACCGAACAAGAGGTCGAGGCGACGGTAGACGTTGTGACGCGAGCCATCGTCGATAAACTGGCGCGTATTATGACGCTTTCTGTTCAAGAGATTGATCCGCAGTGGTCGCTGGGCTCGTACGAGGTGGATTCCCTGGTAACAGTGGACTTGAAGACCTGGTTCCAACGGGAAGTGGGGGTTTCCATAGGATCGGGGGAACTGTTGGCGGAGCTGGCCATGACCCAATTGGCCCGATAGACTGCGGACGGATCGCAGTTCTTGCCGGCGGAGCTCGGGAGGAGTTAGTAGGAGAAGGGCCTGTATCCAGTTAAGAAAGAAGCTCTACTCCGGAGCAGTAGGGTGCAATTGCATGATGGAGGCCTAAAAAGACAAGCCAGGAAGAATGAAGCTTTCGACCATTGAGGAAAGACGGTTGAGGCGCCATCTTCAGGCATTTAGGCATGAATGTTAGTAATCAGATATATATCAGGTGACTTTCACCGAGACAAGGAAGTGGCACTAGCCCCAAACAGGTAACACAACAACCAGCTGCTGTTTTGAGACAAAAAAGGAATTATCAACAATAATATCTCTGGAACTTGAGGTCATTGGCCCACATGGGGCTGCAGAAATATTAAGATTAACATCAAGACTGGGACTACGCCCGCCACTGGCCCTTCAATACAATCGTGGATCTATCGCCCACGTACCGACGCTTCCCCTCGGCACAGCTTGACCAAGCCTCTCCTGCCAATAATTTTAGGAATATTCAGACTGCACGAGAGTTGGGAAGACATGGCAGCACGACACACCCATTTCATACCACTCCCATCAGTCTATTAGCGGGGTTTCGGCCTGTGGATGAGAACCTCTTTCACGCGGTAGTCCACCTGGCGCAGAGACATCGTGTGTTAGATCTGGCCTGTTCTTTTCCTAGTAAACCCGAAAAGAAGCGTGTTCAAGGTTTTCTACTGGACAAATGTAAAGAAATCCGGACGAAATTAGTGGAACAGGAAGGATATGTCTGTCTGTGGGAGTGCCGCTATGGCTGAAGGGGTGCGAGCTAACCTGAGCAAGGTTTTGGTTGGAAATGTGAAGCAGATAATGGGCGAAAGATATGTAGAGGAAGTTTTCTGAGGTGTTATACCAAAAAAAGATGTGTTATAACATTGTACTACTAATGTGGTTATGGACATGCTTAAAGCAGCATACTCGGATGACGGTGGTGATGGTGATGATAACAATAAGTAATACCTACTGCTCCTGTACCACAGACAACCAAACCAACCAGATACAGTCCTCATGCGTCTTCCATTCCGCCAGGTCACATCACTGCGTGAAAAAAAGAAAAGGTAGTCCTGTCACATAAAGCACAAATTGAGATGTCCACCAAAATTACCACAGCCACCACCCTCTTCTGTGTAGTATTAGTAGTATGTAATTATTGTGGTCTTTCCCCTAGCAGCAAGCGCTCGTATACTAGTAGGATTGTCATGGTCTCCGGCAGTTAGTACTCGATAATTGGTCTACTTACCATCACCTGAATTGTAGTATGTTTACCAAGTGTGGAGAAATATATACTAGGCCCATCCCACTGCTCAACGAGGTGACAGCGTGCTAGGGACTTCAAGTATCTGTAGTACTGGTGTGAGAGTCAACAATAAACTAGCGAATTGTGTGCCACCGATTTTAGTTACCTCCCTAAGCCACAACCTGAGGATATATGCTGTTCCCCCCCACCCAATGATAAACCTGAGAAATTTCACCACATTCCTATATACTTATGGCAGTGCTTACATAACGTCATTACCCGGCTCTCTATCACGTGATAATCTAAGGCTGCCAAGGCAGCAATCTCACGTCAGCCCCCTCAACTAACCCCAACGAATCAACGAGTTAACCACCTTCTCATCTTAGAGAGACATTCGTCTTTTAATCTAGTATCCTCGCGTAGTACCCCAGCCGGAATTCTTTTACACCCACATATATATATATGTATATATATTTATATATACTCATGTGATCTACTGGTAGACATCTCTCTAACAGTCAACGGACCCTTTCCCGTTCCGACGGGAAGAATCCGAGCACTGGAGCCCCTGAAGGATCGTCGGGTGTTAGTCTGTATCTAGTGGCTCGGCTTCATCTTACCTCTTCGCACGGCCCCCACTGCCCCCCTCGAATGTGTCAAAGTCTCAACAGTACAGCATCCGAGGGTGCAAGGGATTGGTTCATTCGACACGCTGACATTCCTGGGCCGCCCCGCCCGCCGCCAACCGGCTGCCTCACCAATGTCTCTCTCCTCCCACAGGCTTCTTCAGGTTGAACTCGCCAGGTTCTCCCTCATGCCTATTTGGGATGGCGTGCTCGCGCGTGCCCTTGATAGCCTGCCCAGTCCAGGCTTGAAAAATTCCTCTCCTGCTCTTCAAAACGATCTTGGCCCCCACCAGCCTCGGCACGGCCCCCGTTCAATCGGCTTTCGTGTGGGCATGGCTGGCGCGCTGCCCAGCGACAGTCATTTCCCCAGATGAAATTCTCCCTTCGTCCCGCCCATATCCCTCTTATTTCTGTCGTTGAAATGTGAGATGGCACAGCTGCTGCCGCCGCCGCCGCCGCCGACCTGAAATCAGTTCCCATCCGGGTAAAGAGAGAAAAAGCTGGGGGTGTTCGTCAGCATGTGGCTCTACCATTTGCTGCTGATCGTCCTTCTGGAACGACTGGTGTCCGGCACCACCTGCTACTTCCCTGAGGGCAACGTGGCCGAGGATTACACGCCTTGCTCCGACAATGGCGTCTCGTTCTGCTGCAATAAGAACTCGATTTGCTTGAGCAATGGCCTCTGCACCTCCATGCATCAACCGTATGTTCTCGGCCGCGGCGCCTGTACCTCCCAAAGTTGGAACGATACCTCGGTCTGCGACGATGTCTGTCATGGAAGTACGTGAGATACCTCGCTCACCCTGATAGTTTGGCTTCGACCTAGTCTACTGTTCTTCTTTGCGACTGACCAGATACTCGCAAATGACAGTCACCACCGCGTGGAGCAGCGCGTGCTCCCTCATCCTCTACAGTGACATGAACGGAGTCAAGCTATATTGCCCCAACTCGATTATTTCCAACGGGACCAACTCCATCGGATGCGCCAATGGTGTCTCGCCCATTTCAGTGGGCACTGGCAAGCCCATTGCTGGCAAGGCATATCTGGCTAGCTACTCCCTCCTCCCCACTGCTAGCACCGCCACCAGCACCGCGACCGCCACCTCTACCACTGAGCCCAATACCTCGTCCTCCTCCACAGCCGATGAAAGCTGCAGCAGCCCGACCGCGGCTAATGGCAATCAAGTCAGCCGGGCGACCGTGACCGCCGTTGGGGCCGGGGTCGGCGTGCCCCTTGGGCTGCTGGCGTTGGCATCGCTGGGCTATGGTTTGAACGAGAGGAGAAAGCGGCTCCAGCTCCAGAATGCCCCGCCAAACATGTACCAGATGCCGGCGGCCTCGTCAACGTCCTACCGATCGAGGAATATGGGCGCGAAGGAGCTATCTGGCCATATACCGCTTCATGAGCTGGACACGTGATGTGCATGGAGGGCGCATACACATGTTTGTTATGGTTTGGTGGAAAGGGAAGACAGAAAGGGAGACTGGCAAACGGAATATGGGTGGCTGTTTGAGGTCACAGCAACTACATATGATGTTGCACATATTTCCGTTACTCCTAAGAGTTCGTGTCTGTCCCCGGGCTCAACCTGCTGAACCTGTACATTTGGGGTCCGGCCAACAAAGAACCGTAAAAATAATACTAATACACTGCTTCTGAGCAGATAATGCACAATACATAGCGTAAATCTGGCTGGATCTGCTAAAACTTCAAACCTTAAGAGAGCGACCCGGAGCGTAACGAGTGAGATAAAGAGACACTTCTACAGCCAATGTGCACTGTTTGACCTCCCTCGGGGGCTTCCCTGATAGTTCTCGGAACTAAAACAGCAGCTGAATAGTCATGCCGCCACAACAAGCCCGAGATGGAGAAGACGAATCCGCGACGAGTAGTGCCAACTCAACAAGCATAGGATTCCTACGAAGTACTAGACATACTAATGACCCACTCACGTACCCAAGAGCGAATTATCAGGCTCATACTTGAACATCACGCGAATGTCTACAGCAGCCAAGCCCTCCAACTGACATATAATGATTGTGTCTAATGATTTATCATCCTCAACGTCGGTTAGATGACACTCTGAGCGAGAACTATTCAACGCATCCATCGAAACCGACTAAGGTACTTGCGAGGCCTGACCCTGAGACCAGGTTGCTAACACCGTCCTAATGCGAGCTTGACAGATTCCAAGTATGCATACACAGTTGGAAGAAGAACGAAAAAAAGGGAAACCCTTGCCAACGAACCATGTTGCCCATACAGGAAACTATTATCAATTGGCCGGCATGCAATAACCGCATATACTGTGTGAACAGATCACACACCTTGGCTGGCGATCCCAAAGCTTCGGGCCGTCACCACACTGGCACTGCGGAATCGATGAGCACCTTTCAATATTGAACATGATATACAAGGGGGTTAACTAACACAGAAATATAACGTGGGCAATGCCAGGTACGGTAGGAGATGATCATGAACGCCGACAACTTGCTCGGTCGACCTCAGAGCTGAGCTGGCCCAGGAAAGGTGTCGTATGGAGGGCCGTGTACAGTGTACGAACGGAATCATATCACCTACCGATCTTACGATCGGATGGCAAAGCGTTGCATCGGGCTCAAGCTGCTCTAGTGGGCTGTGATGATCTATCACCCCGTCGTTGTCTGGGAGGAAATCAAGGGGGATATCATAGTGTACGGAGGCCATGTTTGAGCTGTCAAGAGACAAATTGATGTATTGCTCGCATGCGGGAGGACTTTGATAAGCTGATGGGGGGCATGGCTACTGCTCTTACCAGTATTAAATCAGAGGTTCTTGTGGCTATGTCTCCCGCCACAGCTGCGATTGGGTAGCAGTCAGGCAGGAAGATGGGCCGATACTCCAGCTGCGACACACATGATCTCAGCAACGGGACGTATGGATCTCCTCAATAAGAAAACAAGCTTAGCATCACCACCCCGACGCTCATAATGGCATCCGGGTCGAAACCTTCTCACAATGATTATACCGTGGCGTGGATATGCGCACTCCCAGTGGAGCTGGCGGCTGCCCAAGCCCTTCTGGATGAGACCCACGATCAGCTTCCAGCCGGACCGACTGACGCGAATGTTTACACACTAGGGTGCATATGTGGCCATAGAATTGTCCTCACCTGTTTACCGAGCGGTGTATGCGGGACGATCTCTGCAGCTGTTGTCGCGACCCAACTTTTGTCAACTTTCCATTCCATCCAATTCGCCCTCCTAGTCGGTATTGGCGGAGGCATACCAACTAAGAATGCGGATGTCCGTCTTGGCGACGTAGTCGTTGCAAGACCTACTGACAACAACGGAGGTGTCGTACAATATGACTTTGGCAAAGCAACAGCCGCTGGCTTTCAGCGGACAGGCATGTTGAATAACCCGCCCAGATGCCTCTTGCATGCGATCTCTAAAGTAGAAGCAAACCATTTGTCACATGAGCGTCAATTTATCTCTTTTCTGTCTGAATTCGGAAGGGGAACGACTGAACAGGAAGCCTTGGTCTTCTCGAGGCCGGTGATGGAAGACCATCTGTATCTTGCAGATTACCATCATGCTGGCATCCGGTCTGATGGATGTGCGAATTGCGATAAGTCGAGGACGGCTTCACGGCCTGTCCGATGCGATGACTTGCCAGTGGTTCATTACGGATTGATTGCATCAGGGAACCAAGTGATCAAAGACAGTCACGTACGTGACAAGCTAGGGCAGGAGCTTGGGGCGTACTGTGTTGAGATGGAAGCAGCCGGTTTGATTAACCATCTGCCATGTTTGGTGATCCGTGGCATATGTGACTATGCTGATTCACACAAGAATGACGCATGGCATGGGTATGCTGCCGCTACAGCTGCAGCTTATGCGAAGGAACTACTTTCCGTAATGCCAGTTTCGCAATATAATATGGCCGCTTCGATGGATACTTCGCAGGGTGAGTGACGTAACTTGCTCCTGATAAAGCATCTGACCGCTGATAGTTAGAGGCTAGAAAATTACCACATACCATTTCAACTGACTGATGTACCCACGATTAGCAACTTTGTCGGTCGGGATGTAAACCTCCGCAAGCTATGGGAGATCCTGCAACCGAATAAAGTGATGGCGCGCAAAGATGTCGTGATACATGGAATGGGTGGGCTGGGCAAAACACAATTAGCAGCCCACTTCGCTCGCATGCACAAAGAGGACTTCACATCAGTTTTCTGGCTGCATGGCAAGGATGAGACTACCTTGAATGCGTCATTTGCAGACCTTGTTGTCCGCGTCAGAGATATGGCTGCAACCGACAGTACGCACCACCATTCGATGCAAGAAGGGCCACCTTTATGTGCCAAAAGAGCCCTAGAGTGGCTGTCGAAGAAAAATAACGCTGGGTGGCTTCTCATCTACGATGATGTAGAAGCTTCTGACATCAAAAGCTGGCTGCCGACTGCAGATCATGGCTCGATCATCATCACAACTCGATCACCGCAACTTGCTGAGGGCATGATCGCTCACCCACTCACGCCGCTTCCCTTTGAGGATGCCTTGCAACTACTCACTGGCGAGCCAGGCCCTAGAGACAGCACATACGGCAGATGCCAGAACGACCCAAGCTCCGAAGCACTAGCTAAGCGTTTGCACGGATTACCTTTAGCATTGGCACTTGCAGGCTCCTATATCCACCGGACAGGTATGAGCTGCTCCAAATACTTGGAATACTACCAACGCGAATGGTGCAGCCTTCAGGCAGCCGCACAACCTCTTCGAGGGTACCCAAACGGAAATTTGCAGACGGCGTGGAGAGTTTCTTATGAGGCAGTTAAGCAAACCTCTCCACTGGCAGCACAGACCTTCTTTATTCTTTCGCTCTTTCATCACGAGGATATATGGTACGAGCTACTCCACAGTGCCATGCAATCCCGCATTATACCCTCAGGGCTTTCAGAAGTTTTCTCAAACGAGATTCAATTTTCAAAGTTGATGCAGATATTGCTGGACTTCTCGCTGGTACAGCAGTCTTCGCGCCACGGGAGTTATTGCTTACACCCGGTCATACAAGATTGGTGTGAGAATGAGCTACCGTCTGTCGATTCGGACCTCGATGAGCTTAGCAGAGAGACCTTTACCATTCTCGCAGTCACAGTGGGCTCGAACGCCCAATTTGCGCTAGACACGAACGACTGGTCGTTGCAGCAGCGCCTTCTGTATCACGCAAACAGACTCATGCCATTGATACGAGACAAACCAAGAGAGAGTCGAGATTCTGAGGTCCTTTCGGCACTTCATGCGATGGGGCGCCTGTATTGGACACATGGAAGGCACGATAGAGCAGAGCAGATGTACCAAATGGCACTTGCTGGGAGAGAGATGGCGTTCGGCCCAGATCACAGAGTCACTCTCCAGACCGTCCATAACATGGGCTTGCTGTACCATGACCGGGGAGATTTGAGATCAGCCGAGCTGATGTTTGAGCGGGCGCTTTCCGGATATAAAAGCACCGAGATTGATTATTCTCAACTGGAGGCGCTGGATACCCTTCAGAGTCTTGCAAATATCTACCATGCTCAGGGGAGACTGGACGAGGCCGAAAGGCTGTGCTACAAGGCACTGACGGGATACCGAAGTTTATCGACAGCAAGCAGTCCATTGCTCCTGGATGCAATGCATAACCTTGCAAACATCTACTTTTCTCAATACCGGTTACCCGCAGCAGAAGAGCTATACGACGAAGCCTTGAGGGGCAAACAGAGATCTCTTGGTGAATATCATACGTCGACGCTAAATACAATCCATAACATAGGTGTTGTCTATTTTGAGCAAGGCCGAGGACAGGAAGCTGAAGAAATGTGTGAGAGAGCCCTTTCTGGAAGGATGACAGTATTTGGGAAAGATCACGCGTCTGTATTCGACACGCAATTCCAACTAGGCACCATTTATCGCTCACAGGGTAAATTGAAAGCGGCCGAGGAAATGTACCAACGCGTTTTGTTGGGACGAGAGAAGGTTCTAGGCGCTTTTCACACCTCAACTCTTCATACTATCCACCATATTGGAAATCTCTATTATATGCAAGGCAGGCTGCAAGAAGCGGAGCAGATGCAAGAACGAGCACTCAACGGCTTTGACCGCACCTTTGGTCATGACCACACCTATACACTCGAGTTGGCCCATACCCTGGCTGTTTTTTGTTGTCAGAGAGGGAAGCTCGATAAGGCAGAGTCATTATTTCAACGCGTTCTGTCCGCCAAAGAGCAGATCAATGGGAAGCGCAGTGGACCGGTGCTTGCTATTCTGAACAACTTAGCAAATGTATACCGAGAACAGGGTAGACTCCGTGAAGCAGAAGAGACCTATAAGTTGGTCTTGGCCGAATGGCGGAAACACGGCCCAACGCATTCTGCAGCACTCGGTGCTTTGAACAATCTAGGTGTCGTCCACCAAGACCGGGGCCAACTGAAAGAAGCGGAGAAAATGTTCAAAGAATGCCTAAATGGATATGAAAAAAGCCTCGGTCCTAATCATGTCCTTACACTGGACGCAGTATCTAACTTAGGAGACTTGTATCGGGATCAGCACAAAGCCCACAGGGCAAAGGAGCTTTACTTGCGCGCTCTTGCCAGCTACGAAGAGACCATGGGTCCCGACCATCCGAAAACACGAGAAACCGCAAACAAAGTCCGCTTGGTATCCAATCATCCCAACTCGGCCAAGCGAGATTTTTTTGCCAGAGTCTGGAAAGGTGGTCGCTGGTGACATACATACCTTACTGTGTATCTCTGTTGTATGCCAAGCTTTTCCATACCTCGTTGAATCGGCGAATAAAAGGTGTTGATGAATTCCTGCCTTCGGCGACACAGTGGTATTTGGTCCCGCTGACACGATATTTCTATCTCTAATCCAACACGCAGCTTTAGTATTGGTATGTCCGACGACTTTAATAATATTTGATTGTTCTGTATTGCCCGCTAATTGGGATTAAGTTTGCTATATACGGAACTCATATGCCTAGGACAAGCCTGGACAAGAACAGAATCGGGTGTTCTGCCCCGGAAAGGCAGCGGAGAAGATGTTCAAGAAAGCCTCACGATGCTTCCCCAAGAATGCTCAACAACTCTTCTGTGAAGGCCTCGGGATGAGTAGCGGATGGCAGATGCCCACCGGCTACTATCTTTACTGGTAAGCCCAACTCGGCACCTAAGGTGGTGATCGGTTCAGTGGTCAACGGAGTTGAGGACAATTCACCCCTGATGAGAGTAATCTTTTGCCGATAAACCTTCAGCACAGGGAAGGGCACTTGGTATCCTAGCAGGACAGGTAACTCATATTCGAAGAGGAAGTTGAAACAGAGAATTGACAACGCAAGGAGCTTCTTGTGAGTGGGCGAGTCACGAAGCAGCGCACGGTCTTCATCGCTCGTTACGACCGGGACAAATGTCTCCGAGGCAGCAGCTGGACCATGGGCCTTGTATATCGAAACGGTAGACTGGAATGCTGCAGAGACCTGCTCGTAGCTCTGCTTTGGTAGGAGGCATGGTATGCACGGGTCATGGACAACTATCTCTCGGACCAAGTCTGGATGAGTGCTGAGCAGTTCAAGGGCATGCATGCAACCGAGTGAAATGCTGTAGATGAGGACTGGCTGGTCAGGCGAGAGGTGCTGTATGAGAGCGACTATGTCGTCGACGGTGTCCTTCAGCAGGGTTCGTT